CTTATAAATAATAAAAAAGGAGACTGATAACAGTAGCTTTATGTAAGCAAGCTCAGAAATCACTCTCAGATAAGTGCTTTTGACCTAAATCTTGTAGCGCCTCGATCTGACATATAACCYCACAACTGTGAAATTCTGTATGAGATTTAGCAGTTTGAAGCTGCCAACTGACCCAGCCATAAAGCAGCCAGAGATAAGCATTTACGGTACGATATGATACAATTAGACATTCACCTCCTATTTATTTCAGCCCATTTCAGTATATAACCTATTTAAAAGTTGCAGGCTTTTTATTAAAATGTAAATGCTCGTGTGCTGTATATTTATAGGCAGCTAACAACAACAAGAAAAGACTCTCATAAATTAGATTTCTATGAATGAAAAGGGTAAACAGGAGATGCTTCTGCAAAACTCTTCTAGACRTGCAGAGATAAAGGATGGCTCTACCACACAAAATAATCAGATACAAAAATAGCTGTTCAGAAACAGCACACCTAAGGAGTACTTTAATCAAACATTTAGGTTACCTGCCAAAAGGACCATGATCTCTTCAAAATGCAATGCGGATTAAAGTGTTATCTAACACAAGCAGAAAACTAACCTTGGAGTGGAAGTTCGAAATGTGTTCATCATAATTTTCATGTCTTTGGATAGAGAAACCAGCTTTTTCAGCTAGATTGCAAAACTGGTTTAAAGTATTCCCTCGGAGTGGAGCAAATACCATTGCTTTTCCCTGGAACATTAAAAAGAGAATTTATACATTTTTAAAACTGGAAGGGAACCAGATATAGCATGCACTTGACTAAGCCTTTAATATGCTCAAGCTGGAAAAGTCAATTGTTCTCTTGCTAAAATACTAAAATATAATAACACAAATAATTGTTCAAAATAYGCAAGATTTCTGTGATTAAACAAATGCAACATAGAAAGTAATAAAYAAGTATTTTCTTTAGAAAACTGCCAACTGCAATACATCTGCTTCTTTTCATATAATAATGGTGTCTGTGGATTACCAAAATAAAACACAGAAAATGCATACAAAACATACACTCGATGAAAAATCCATTTGTTAGCTCATGAGCATGCAAAGACTGTAAATAATGATTTTCTTTTTTCTCTCTCACACATAGAAGAGTACCTCCCATTCACTGTCAGTGGAATTACAACAGTATAAAACAAGGCAAAATGGGAGGCAAATCAGACCCAATTGTTAATTTTGCGAAGATATTTGAAACTACCTAAGCAGTGCAACTAAATTTGACCTTAAATTGGTAAATTGCATTTAAATCAAGAATTAATGTTCTTGAATACTAATTCTGGTTCTTGCAAGATGATCAAGCCAGTTATGATGCCCAGGCAATACATTATGGTCCATTACCTAATGTTTTGTTCATCCTTCTGTATTTAAGAAAACAAAAATAACTGTACCTTGAACTGATAGATTTTAGACACTCTGTGCAAAGTGCTTGCCCAAAACCTAACCTACTTGATAGAGCATCTCTTGAAGTCTTATTTGCAGAATTAATTCTAATTGGCTGAATACWGTGTTCTGTCACATGGAATGAAAAGTGGTTGAAGAGCTGTAAACAAAGGTTAATATCAGCCAACAGCCTATCACACCAAGGGGAGCCACGAAGTTTACTCTAAGTTCCTGTATTTAACTTCTATATTAATGAGAGCCAAGATTAATTTGTGAGGAGCTGTAATCAAGCAAAGAGACAAAAATTATTTCTGGGAATCTGAAAAAARGTTCTAAAAGGATTAGATGCTGTGGAAGTACATTTAGCTTGAAAAAATGCAATCTGTAAGCCACAGGGAAAGAGTGATTAGTATGGGGAATTTCAATAGGAATACTGAAAGTTAAAATGCTGACATAGACACTTACTGAGGAGAACACTGAACAAATCTGTGTGTCTCACACGTCACACATGCACACCTTCACTGAGACAATGCAGAGTAAGACAGCAATAAAAATGCTTTGTCAGTACCTGTGGTGCTAATGGGGACTTCAAAGTTTCCAACCATTAACACCATATTTATTCTCAGAATGGCCCCGGGCCCCATGAGATAGGGAAATACTGTTACCCTCATCTTTCTTGTGGGAAATTTAAGCACAAAGGAGTCTTAGGGCACCATCCAAAGCAACTCAACTTCTGTTCATTTGTGTAGCTGTAGCTTTAATTTTGTGGCAAAATAAGAGGTGCAAAGGGGTGTCACTCCCACCGAAGGCCCTGGAATTGCTTATGTAAATGCTATGTCTGAATATAGGCTCAGCTCAGGATGAAAAACATTAAACACAGGAAATTCACAGTCGGTTCCCTCACATCCTTGGCATGCTTTAATGTCTTCAGRCAGAAGTGGGCAGCAAAGGAAGCCTTCAGCTGAGGATCTGGCTCCTCCTGCTGCCATCTCACGCTCTGCAGAATGTTCTGCCCAAGCCCTTTCTGGTGTAAGGACGAGAGAGACTGGAGACCCTCACTGTCATCATCCCTGTAATGGGAACCATGTCCCTCACCCAGGGCTTACCGACCACATGATTCACACGGGGACTTCAGGAGTGACTAAACATCCTCAACAGAGACTTCTGGAGGCTACAGACCCTACACTGGCCCCTACACAGCAGATCCCCTCGCTCCACTTGGAGTCAACAGTCCATGCGGTCATTCCTTCTGATATTCTGTGAAAACTGCTTTCAATTAAATTTGAAAGAGAAATAGAGTAAAACAGAATGTAACACGGTGTGAAATATGTCTCAAATCCTGACAGAAAATCTTGAAACAATTTTGAAAAAGGGGAATGGCTTTTATGGAAATCACTACACAGTTACTTTTGGCCAGCTCCTTAGTTGGTGTAAAAACCTGTCAATCTATTGACTTTAGTGCATGTCTAAAACACCTGTGGATCCTGCACTCACTGATAAAAACCAAGAAATCATGATTGAAGCTCAAAACTCCAGTGATCTTCTCAAAACTGACAGGTATTCTGGTCAATTTGGTCTAYCACAATCTGGGTTTAAAGCACRTTTTGTTTCCATCTGCCCAGTAATGCTACCTGTTGAGAGGCTGCATTCACATTTCTAACTATGAAATGTTTTTYATTCCTTGGTTGCTGTACAATTAAAAAATTAGACCAGTGGCCTGGTTCTACTCTTGAAGGATTATTCCAATTAACTCTTCATTCAGAAGTGTCTGCTAGGATGACTTTTAAAGGATGATGTTTAAAAATGGCCTTTCCTCATATGGAAAAATACTTCCATTAAACTTGTGAATGAAACACAGAAGAAAATACTGGCTATAATAGTTCGAAGTGTGACTAAAATGCTACAGTAAGACAATGGAACAGTCATTCATATTTTGGATGTGACTATGACTAACTTTACTCTTCAATTATTACTAAACGAGGTCTTACTTGCTGGTTCTAATCAGCTCAATAGTATCCCATTGACTTCATTRGGATTTTGAATGGATAGGCCACAGAAGAATCAAAGCCTTGATAAAAAAATCGTTCTTCATTAGGGAAATATGCAAACAAATGCTTATCCTGAGATTAAAATTAAAAGTAAGTTTTAATGATATAAAAAAGTAAAGCTAAATGTTGGCAAATCAAGTCGAAGTAGATTGAGAGAAATAGAATATAGCCATTCAAGATAAATTTGTTCAATGTAATATTTCTATGCCCTATTCTYTGAATAAGCTTACAGGTGGCATTTGCCTCTGTAACAAATTCAGTCAGAAATTTCAGTCCTCAGTAACTCTGTAAAATGCTCATTTCTATCGCTGTGAATTTATTCGTGTGCCAATACAGCTGTCTGTGGGGTCAATACTGAGAACCAGATGACTGAAATTATCAGTCCTGTTTCAARGAAACTAAAAAGTTACCCAAAACACATCATTCTGTACCACAAGAATTCTAACTGCCAGAAATAACATCCTTACTGAAAAAGGAAATACCACAGATAAATTTAAAATKAACAGTAGGAACAGACTGTGTGTTCCAAATCTCTTCTTCAAGAGWGCTTTACAAGATCACCTGTTATTTTCTGTTTACTCCACTTTTTCTTTTGGTATTTTTGATTATTATTTTTGCCAAACTCTTCTAAACTACTTGTATCCTAGTGATGCCTTATCAATCAGGCTAACCTGAAACAAAGGCCAGACAAACTTAAKAGAATGAGAATAGACAACTTTAATACTGGTAYATCAGGGCAGACAAAAGYCTCCTCCTGAGGCTACACCCAAAATGGACACCAAGTCACAAGATCTTCACCTTTTAWAAGTTCTGTCTTATTAACATATTGGGCCTCAACCACCCAATGATATTTTCAGGTGATGATGTCAMCCACCCCAWACTTGCTCCCCSMYAACCCGCTGTTGTTTATGTATTTTAGGGCTCTGAGGCAGYGAGGTGTYCCTTCTCAGAGAGGGATTGTTTTGTCTAAAGATGGGAGAATGRTAGTKYTAGTATTGTACTAGAGAACACAGACGCAYRAAAATACAGAAGCTAAAAATCCTAAGGCATCATTTCCCCCCTCCATRTGAAAGATGACTTGCATATAAAGGTGTCAATTTAATCAATTTGTCAAAATACTTTCAAAAAGAAAATGTAAGTTCTAAATTTGAGACAAAATAATTCATGTAAAAGAGTGAACTTAAAAAAAAAGTTTATACCTTAGCTTGGGCATAAACTGATACCTATAAACCATTTTTAATTATTGCAACTGGAAAATAAGTTCAGTATTAATTTATTTGTSCTTTAAAAGCCAAAGTATAGCGACATTTAGTAAAGTGTCCTCTGATGCTTTCCTGAGATCTATACAGGTTAACAAGAATAGCAAAAATTAGAATTATTTCACACTTATGACTGCATCATTTGTGATCTTGAATGAGCATATGGTTTTATTTGGGTCTTTCAAACCATAAAGGCATCTCTGCTGAACATGACATTTTTTGTCAAGAGAGCTCATTTAAGGTGTCTGTACTCCCACCCACTACCCAGCTCCCTGGGGAGTGGTTTAGTGGTAGTGGTAATAGTTTGCTGTCCTCTTAGTTATAAATGACATTAATTTGCAATGCCATGCCATAACTGCACATCCATCCATATAGCTACTCAAAAAGTGGATTAGGCAACTGTATTTAGTTAAAAAATAGTTTGGATAGGGGTCCAAAACTCTGCAACAGAAATTCCTGCATTGACCATGAATTTCTTCARCTAGCTTTGCTGATAAGAAGTAGCAACCTCGGCCTAAAAGGCACAACAAATACGTGCTAGGCCATTATCACACACTATGCTGATAATCACAATGAGCAGAAGCAAACAAGACTAGGAAGGCTGGCAACAAAAAGCCAACTCCCTTTACTCCATCTGCATTCACAAAGGAGTGTAGTTCATCATGCTCTGAAACACAAAGGCATGTTCTGAAATTGAATTAGCTGACTGAACGTAAACAGAAACAAAGTCAGGACAGTTTTGGCTTAAAGTCAGCCTAACAATTCTACAGTTACCAGGGWACCTCTTATACACTTCTCTTCCTCCCATTCATGCTCTTCTTCCCCAGTGTTCTTTTGTSGAGCCAGTAGAAGGGCCCATGGGAATACCTGAAGAACCAGTTGCTGACATTGATCTAGGCTGAAAAAAATTCTTTCTGTATTTTTTTCTAAACTGGGATCTGTTTTGTGTTCCAGAYCACAAAAATTGGTTCCAAAAATTACTGCACTTTGACAGCTGTTGGTACATTATGAAAGTCAGAATGCATCACTCTGAGCAGGAGCTGCTTGACCTCTCCTTACTGTCACTGACAGAAATATCTGGGTAACCTTTTCCTCAAGGTGGCTACATTTCTCCTGTCTTCCTGGCAGCCTTGCCTYGCAGCTCATTAAAATAATTCAGTCTTAAGTAACTTGCCTTAGGTCACTCAGGAAAGTCTATGATAGAACCAAGAATAGAAACCTGATCACTCTAAGCAAAGAATGGGATTACTTACACAACTAAAATGACTCGGGTTCTTAAGCCTTTGCACGTTTGGGTCTTCTATCCCTTGTACTGAGAAAATCTCTTGTACAAAAAGTATACTACAAATTTTAAATGAAGTTTGGAAATGCACTGCTAGCATGAAATAATTTTGTTTTGAAATGGAAAAAAAAAACCTTATTGGAAGATTTGGATGTTAAACATGAAAGATAAAATGCTTGTTTCAAAATTCTACTTAGAGCAATTACTTAATGTTTTCTCCTTTTCTCATTTTGATATCTTCCTCTTTTTTAATAGTTGAGATAATATATATATTTTATATTTGCATATAACAGACTTTTTTTTTGCCTGTAGGTCTCTCTGATTTAAATAGCCTAATAGATTTAGACTGACAAAATATCTCCCGAATGAGATGTAGAACATATAATCATTTTATGAAGAACAAAATTTCATTATATTCTAAGGTATAAAACATGTAAACACAGGGCTTGCTTATTTAATGGGAAAATATTTAAACCACAGTATACATATAAGGGATTTGCTCATTTTATATAAACATAAATGAAAAGGAAAAAAATATTCTTTCATAATAAATAAATACACAATGACAAAGGTTACAATTGAAGGGATTAAAAATGACAGAAGCCAACATAAAAACTTTCAATATCGTATTTTACTTTAATATGAAGACATTATTATCAAAGGAAAATACTTGAGAAACGCTTTGATAAAAATAATCTGACGCTATCTTTGAAGCGGTTTCATTTATTTTACTACCCACTGTGTTCCTTATCAGAAGGCCAAGTATAAGAAGTTTCCTAGTTTATGATTAGGAAAGAATCTGATAGATTAGAAGACTCAATTGAAGTTGGACATAATAAGTATTAAAGTATTACATGACATTAATCCTGCCATTCCATTACTCTCTCAATCATTGTGCACAGACTAATTATTCTGAAGCCAGTGTTCAGGAGAAAATAGAAACATACTTACACTGGGTTGGAGTAATCTCTTTATTGCATCAACAAGGCTAGCTCTGAACCGGTCCAGAAACAGGCTGACATTGAGAAGAGAACAGAATCCAGATTAAAATGGGTTTTCAATTCTAATGATACTAATGCAGATAAGTACAAGGCTAATTACATATGTTTACACAATGCTGTAAGAGAGAAACTGTGGTCTACATTTCTATGCAGCTCAGGTACTTTTAACATTAAAAAATACATAAAACCAAATACARTCTATACCAAAACTAAATTATCAGCATGAGGCAGGTCTTATACAGCTGAAATTCATCAATCATACATGCTATCTATTAAAATAATACTGTATCAGAAATGAGGATCAACATAAAAAGTTAGCATTTTACATGATTTTATATACCAGGGGGACAGACTTTTTTTAATGTTTTCTATTGTATTTAAGGTGTTACTATTCATGGTATTTTTTCTTCCCTTTCTACCTTCACAGTTTTGGCATTAATTCTTACCTATCATACTTATTTGTTGCATTTCTATATCTATCTCTAGATGTCCCTATAAAGATTTACAAGACCCTATACCTTCTCCCTCTCTCCAACACTGTTTGAATACAATGGCCCAGATTGTACAGAGTTGTCATCTCTCAAGAGTGCAATCCTTCATCTCCAGCATGGGTCCCGCAAGGATAGCAGCAGAGTCAATTTTCCCATGCAATGTTGCCAACACGCTCAGCCCTATTTTGGTGTGATTACCTCATGATTTGAGGGGATAATTCATTCTTCATGCCCCTCAGTACCTTAATGTATATACTAATAGTGGCAACCAGGGTGCCAATCACTCTTGACTAGATATTTGTGGACATGTAGTTACTGTGGATGAGTGCATTTACAATGGTTAGTGAACAACCATCTGATAGCAACTGATGCCTTTCAGTCCTTACTACCGTGGGCTGCATTTATATTGGCGATTCAGATAAGAAACTCTATCAAGCAGGCCACAGATAATGTGATTTTTTTTTCTTCTTTTTTTTTTCTTCCCCCCCCCCCGCCACATTTTCTCTTGTAATAAAACTGCTTTCCAGCTTGTGTCAAGTTCAAGTTTCACACTATATAGCATTTTGTCCACTCTCAGGGTTTTTTTTTTTAAGATACACCCCTTTTATTCCTTTTATTCTCAACCTTCTTTTCTGAAGATATGTGGATAATTTTTTTTCCAGGTTTGGAATTCTAAAAGAACAGAACACATATATGGAAACACTGAAGAGAAAAWAGTAGTCTACCAGTGACAAGCCTCTCATCAAGAGCAGAAGATGTGTGGTTATTTAGTAAGGACACTCCACAGCTACCAAGGGGAATACTATATTATATATTATAGAGTCAAGAAGCTGTGCAAGAGGTGTGTATTTTTGCTACTCTGGAACAAACAAACAAACAAACCCTTTTGGAAAACTTGCAAGCGACCATATTGCATCACTAAAAATTGCCAGAACCTCACACGGCTCAAGGAAATATGGTAGAATGGGAATTTCTAGATGTGTTGAAGAACATTTAATACAGAAGTATGACCTTCTGAATTTCTCCTCAAGAATGTGATGTACCAGCTGACAATTCAGCTCCCCCTCAGCCTTGATTTATCTTACTGGAAGAAYTTTATTGAAAAGACATGTGCCTAAATTTAATTCATTGAAAAATTCAGCTCTTCTCCCTGATGTCTCTTGGGTGTTTTAATGACATTCACCTCGGGTTGATCCGAGGTATCTATATGTATCTATACAAATAGATGCCATAGGACACCACTGCAGGAACCACCTGCAGAAGAAGTGCAATACATGATTCCTCTCGCAAAAGAATAGTGAACAGCGATTAATTTTCTTCAGCATGAAACATCGCAAGCATGTACACATTTAAGACTTCCTGGCATCATGTATAAGCAGAAGTACATTCTAAATGAAAGGTGCATTTTTAATGTTTTTATTATGGAAAGCTGTATGGTGGAAACACAATCTTGGGGCAGCTTACCAGCATTAAAATTCCCTTTTCATGGACTTGAATCCCATTCTCACTTTTTACAGTAAGATAGGGGCACAACTGCTGCTACCAATCTAGTTCCTTTACAGTGAGAACTACAGGCCTTYGCTTACCAAAAACTGAATGTCTGASAACTTAAAATGGTTACATGACCTGCTAGATTGGACAATTTCAGTAAYACTTTTCTGTCCAACCCCAACTGATATTTTGTTGGCAGAGGAGGTAGACTCTTAGCCCTCTTGGCTTGGGAAACCCAGATAACCTGGGACTGTTGCCCCAAGATGTYCTGCCCTCCAAGAGGCCTCTCCTTGGGAACATGACCGACTCCAACTGAAAATAGTTTCTGACATTGTGATTTCCAAACTTTTGCTCTGTGAGCCATGTACCCTGACCAGAAGGAGCAGAGAAGACTGGAAGCAAAGCTAATGCAATGCAACAACTCCAGGAACTTCTCCACCCTCCCTCTGAGTCAGGGGATGCCTTAAGTGASGAAAATCCTGAAGAAGTCATTAGATAATCTGTGCTGCAGACAGAAACAGCACAGGATTTGGCCCACGCAAGGGGATTTAGTCACGCAATTTTTCTTACCGRTAGAATTGTATGACTAAACATTACCACAGCACACTGAAAATGCCCCTGAGAGCATCCTTCAAAGCCCACAACATGTGAGCTCCTGTGTCACCTGCTCCAGGTGACCCTGCCTTGGCAGGAGGTTGGACTGGATGATCTCCACAGGTTTCTTCCAGGCTTAACTATTCTGTGAGTCTGTGAAGAGCTCRGTAAAAATAAATAATGCATTGTTCTAAACCATTCACACCCAGTTCTCACACCTCAATTCAAATTTGCCTTAAGCTTGCCATTATTTTAGTGTTAATATCTCATGTTTATGTAGCTCAGGACAGGAATAGCAAGATTTTCTTGGGTCAGTGAGGACGATTCAAATCACAGCAGTAGAAAGGTGAGAACATAGCTGATGATTTGGCCTTTGTTTAGGCAATGCTCTTAAACCGGGAAATCTGGATGAACAGGCAGGGAACATTGTCACCTCTCTACTCTCTTATTCTTTGTTAAAAAAATAAATTACCGTAAAAACCAAAATGAAAGTTTATAAGAAAACTGCAGAGAAGTAACAGCAAGACACAAGGAAACAAATTTTAAAAAAAACAAGTAGATTCTTATTTTGCTTCATGCTAATATCCTTTCCTCTTGTGCCTCGCAACAAATGGCATATATTTTATAGGCTATGATGTAAACTCTTTTTTTTGCATGCTCTGCCATTGGTAAAAGAGTTGGGTTTACAGGTGCAYTTCAGATATTATTACATTCATGTGTAGTATCTAATGCATAGAGCCATTTATCTTTTTCAACTCCATGGGTGACATAAACTAAGAAAACTCTTACTTTCCTTACTTATTACATAAAGTTCCTATGCACTTGAAATTGTGAGCCAGGAATCAGGTCTGAAATGAATAATAAGTTTACATGGAAAAAGGACAGAGGTCTTACAGCATTCTTGCAAAAAGATCTCCTTATAATAAGTGAAACGGATATGAAATTGACATATTTTAAGGAATTTAAAGAATACTTTCAGTTCAGTTCTACATTCCTGGCAAAGCCACAACTCCCCGTGACTTCAGCAAAAATCTCAGCAGTGAAAGTAATGTGGGATAGCTCCCCCTGGCCTCTGTTATGTGAATACTTATGCATGTGCCAAACTTTCAGAATAGAATCATTCTAAGTAAATAAAGTAGGATATTACGCATTTCCAAAACAACATGGGGATCTAAAACTTATACTATCTCTACATCAATTTTTTGTGAAAACTTGTTTCACAAAAATGTGAAAGATAAAGATTTTTTTTATTGTCTCAGTCCTATTGGCTTTAACTGTCTTTTTGGATTAAAAATCTCATCAATTTTTTTTCTCAATAAAGAAGAATATGTTTAAATTGTTTAGATAAACAGAAATCTGATGCTCTCAAGACCTCTGGAAGAGTCTTGGGTTTGGCCTGTCCATACAGGCACCTCTTATTTCTCCTCCTCTATTCAAACTCACAATTCTAGCATCTGTATGACATCTGCAGATGTAGGTCAAATGAAAGTCAAAAATTCTGACRGCCCTCACTTGGCCTTAAAATTCCCCCTGAAAAATATGAGATAGGTGAATGTGTTTTAAAGATGCTATTATTTCAGTATTTTTTCACTGTATCCTTCTTCCAGGTGTAGCCTCATCATGATTTTTTTTTCCTTATTTTTATCTAATAGTTGACATTTTAAAAATTATTTTGGAACTGCTGAACCATGAAACTGTTTTTATTGTCAGTGTCCTGAATGGTTAAATAATGACTAGCTTTCACAGTTTGCCTCTTATTTATTTTATAATCTAGTTGAGCTACTAAATTTAGCTGTTAACTAATAGACTGTTTGTTCTGGGAAATAACTTATTTTCCACTCCTGCACACAAGGTTTATGAAAGTCTGACTGTAAATATATGAATATAAACATATCGCTGCTTGCTGTAATCATGCACATTTTTACTTGAATCTCCATGTGGATTTGGAATATGTTTATGAATAGAGCTTGTTTTCATGTAAATGGGATCAAGCAGTACCACTGGTTAGCTATTCAGAGAATCAGACAATATCACCCTTGCTGGAAATACTTCAATAAAAATTTATCCATGTACCTAATATTTGAACTCAGATTTTTTGCTTTCTAGTTCTCCGTTCTAATCTCAGATTTTATTGACTGACAATGAGCTATACAATGGTGTTACACTAAATGCAATCTATTCTATCTGTTTTTATCACTGCATACTTCAGGTTTCAGCTGAGAAGCTGGAAAAAAAGAGATCTTTTTTTTCCTCTTCAATGGCAGCCCAAAAAATTCTGAGAGCAAAAATCCTGCCAACAGTTCTCAAACTGATTCTATATCGCTGAAGAGAAATACATGAAAATGAAAAGAAGATTTGAGTTTGATAAAGCATGSAACATTTATTTCCCCAGCCTTTTCATGAACCAGAAAACCTAGGGTCCATAACTAAAAGAATTATTTCTAAAAGAAACAAACAATGAAGGTATTTTCATGCTTATTAAACTGAAGATACATCAATGGGCACTTGCAATAAGAAAATAGAAATAATTTGTGAATAAAACCACATTCTTTAAACTAACCTTCACATTTCCATTTATTTTTTAGAWATCTATAAATATTTATACACTTACCTGAATCTTAAGTGCTTCAAAATAAATGTACAAAATGCATGGATTGCAAATGCATTATGTATTTACCTATCATGTTTGATTCTTTGTTTCCTAAAGAAACAACACTATTTTCAAATGGACTGGGAGGGGTATTAGACCAGAATATTACTGAAAAAAACAACTTAAGTCTTGCTCCACTCTGCTGTACTCCCAGCACAAATAGGATGACATGGTGTGAGTATCAAGAATACAAGAGACAGCACAGCCAGGTTGTTTTGATATTTGTGTGAAGAACAAATTTAACTCTAAATCTCTTGGCAAGACCTTGCTTCACCCATAATCTGGAGAACATCCATATGTGAGCCTTGTCTAAGCCTCCGAGAAGACTGCTGCCCTCCTGCTCATGTCCGCCAGCACTCTGATCTGACTTTCATACTTAATCTGATCTAATCCTGTCCAGCATTAACTTCATCTGTGCAATGAAACCTGGAGTATCCATTCTAATATTTGGTGAGGAAGGCATTTACTAAATTACTTGCTGAAATCATATGGTGTTGTTTAGCTCCTTATTTTAATCAGATGATGCATCTCTGAGGCACATTATCAGCGATTAGTTAGAAACCCTTCTCTGTCCTTTTTGGGAACAAAGAACTTTTGTGAAATTAAATGCTAAGAGGAACAAAGCACTGTTGCATTCTGACAATAAATAGGTGTTAGAAAAAGGCAAAAAGATCCCTAAACATMTCTTCTCTAGAGCTGTACAAAAACAGTAACCTTGTGAAATAAGAAGAGTTTGGTTAAATAGCAAAATATGAAAGAAAAACAAAAGCTTTAGAGGAATTTAAGAAGACATTTAAAAAGAACATTGTTTAGAAAGACAATAGACAGCTTCGTACTTCCCTTTGCCTTTTCCTTTAACTATTTCTAGGTAAAGTACATAAATTTGCTCAATGGAGCAGTCCTAGGAAGTCTCTGCTTTTGGAATTTGGTCTCTCACAACAGTTACGTGCCGCAAAACATAAACAGCTTTTTTTTTTTTTTTTTATTTTGGACATTTAACGGGTCAAGAGCAAATATCCATGAAGGAAAGACAGATGGGTTTAAAAATAGCTGCTCTCCTAAATAAAATTTCCACAGCTCTTTTTGTACAGTGTCTACATTTATATAACACAAGTAATTAATAATATACCATTTTTAAAGTTAGCATGCAGCAAATAGAGCACAGCACAATCCCACAAATGTGGTATCAGAAAAGGGTTGTGTCAATAAGCAAATCTATTTGCATAAATTATTAAACAAGATACTGTATTTCTACATGTACCTACCTTTTCATAAATTAAGTGCTGCACTCTTATTTTTTTTTACTGTGGATAACCTCATAACTAACATATGCTTGTGTAAAAATTATAAAGCCTATMCCTCCAAATATTGATGTTTAATAGATTTAAGGGACAGAATATGGTGGAAGTGGAAAAAAGGGTTTGAAAATCTCTTTTTCCTTGGAAAGATTTTCCAGAGAGCAAAAAATATATCCCCTTATATCAATAGTCAGATCTTTCCTAAGAAGTAAGCTAATTGAGCTGTTTGTGTTGATAAACTCCCTTTTCTCCAGACTGTTCCTCACTGAGCCATAATTATTTGCAATTTGCCTAAGTCGTCCATTTACTGATACGTCAAGCATGAAACAGAGGCAATTCCAGAAAATGGAAATGCTTCTCAAAATCAATCTTTGGGAAATAATGTGGTAGAAGTTACTGTGTGATAGAAGACTACCTTATAACTGTCACATGGAGATGAATATTAATTTGTTGAGGTTAAGGTGGCTTTGTGCTTCATTTGTTGACTTTGCTTAGCCATCAGCAAGMAGCACAGTACAATTACTCCAGCAAAGCTATTTTTCTAACATGAGTTTTATGATTTTTATGTACTTACCAGTCAGCACACATAACAATGTCAAAATGTCCTTCCAGTTGAGAGACATCTGTCTCATTATCCCATCGTAAAACGCTAGAGGAAAATAAGATTTTTAAAAAAAAAAAGAAAAGAAAAAAGGACTTATATTTTTCATCTTGAGATTTTTAAGGTATTAATATAATTCTTATGTGACACAGATGTGATTTTAAAAGTGCAAACTTGTTACTTTCAAAAGATGAACATAAAAATYTTATTCTGTACCTTTTAAAGGTTTTAAATCTCAAAGCTAAAGAGCTATTTTTCATTATAAGAGAAATGCAATCCATTCAGGTTCTGATAAGTGGATCACCAACAAATATGCCTTTCTGAATTAGTGGCACAGGCACAGCTTCAGATTTTTACCCCTTAATATTACTGCGTGGAAGTGAAGTCAAAGTATAGACAATCTGAATGAAGCACAAATCTGCAGAACACATGTGAATTCATGGATTTTCGTTACATCTGGCAGGCAATTCAGTTATGTTTCTCATTGATGAAGTGAGCATTCACTTGGGCTGGAGGGAGGAGAGACAGGGTGAAAAAATGCCAAGCTTAACTTCAATGCCAGCTATGTTGCCTYTGGCAAGCTTAAAAATACAGCAGTGTTGACTCTGTCAACACCTATTCTCTCATAGGTGATAAGCCATTTAATTCTAAGATACCCAGTAGTRGGCAAAAATTCACATATGTACCAAGTTCTCCTTTGTTTATAAATGCTGCCAATTTATGTAGCTGCCACAAGGAATTTCAGTACTTTACTCCCATCTAAAAAAAATAGCAACTAGTATTGGAATTTGCTGCATACTTTAAATATCATTACCCYGAACATTTGAAGCTGCATTTCTATTTCTAGGCTATTTTAAAAAAAGGAATCTATCCTTTTTCATTTCCTGGTTATTTATAATAGAAAGTAGATAAATATTTATGGGAAAAGCACTTGTGGGGGAAGGGTCTAATCTGATCTTGTCAGGTTGTGCATGCTTATCTCAGTTTTGTATGAGTCTTGACCAAATAGACCCTTTAGTCTTCCCGCAGCTATAATCTACTTCTGGTTAAAAGCCATCTCCATTCACATCCTACTCCTAATATTTAACTGAGGATCAGKTTATAATGTGTTCATTCAGAAATGTTCCCTAAGCATACAAGAAAAAAGGGAATTTTGCACATTCATTATGCTGCATGCAAAAAATGCTCATAAATATGTAGATAAATAGATACAGGGCCATAAAGAATTAAGGTACCACAATATGAATGTACATGTGCACAGACACAAAATTTGAGACAGAATGCTTTTAAAACATGGAAATTAAGAAAGGAGAGGCCCAGTTAGTTGGGAAAGCTTTGATTGTGTGGGGCTCAATGTAACCGAACAGATCAGGACTCATTAGCCCATTTGCCCTCCTGGAATTTACTGTGACAATCCAAAGACAGAAAAGAGTAGATTAATTTAATTTTTCCCCCTCAAATTGAAAGTAATCCAGATTTTAGAAGCCTAGGTAGCTTTGCACACTGGCACGCAGCAGGCATCCAGTAGTGGAAAGTGACAAAGGAGAGTTCTCACTCTCAGCTGCTGGCTGCCTGCTGGCTACCAGCGGCTTTTTCAACCCTGTTTCCGTGGAAACTTAGGTTAGAATGGTGAAAATTAGGTAAAGGTAAGTTTTGTGGGTTTAAAGCACGCACTCTAATACTTTAAGAATCCTAAAGCAGAACTGGAAATTGGTAGAAGAACTGTGAGCCTTAAAAGGCYACCTTTGGTTCTCATTGCTACAGAAACAGAGATCTGATCAGTACCACTACAGTGATTTGAATTATGATTTTTTTTTAACCAATGTATTTACTATACTTCACACATGCAGTTGGGAAGGAAGCACAGGTGCCTCCTCTTGAATAAAACCAAACCAAAACCCAATCACSCACCCTCACGTTAGTGTCAGGTTTTTGATGGGCACCCAAAACACAGCATTTTCTGTGCATACCTACTGTAGGCACAGAGGAGTTTGTGTGGGGAGATGAAAGCCCATAAACCATAGTGCTGAGCAAAATATGGAATTGATGAGTCACCAGGAGCGTGAGCAGTGGTGCCACAAGACTGGCATGTGTATTGTTAGGAGTGAGCCAAGGGCCCCACATCCATCCATAAAACAATCTTTCTCCCTTTTCCCGATCTACTACAAGGGCTGCTTTTGGTCTCTAGCTTCAGTGCAGCTGCATTCATGAAGAYATCATAATTATGCCAAGGCCAATGATAAATTTTACAAATTTCAAATGAACTTTGCCATAAACTTTCCAAAAGTACATGAAAATCTTTATTACTGTGGGGGAATCACCTCATTAACTAAATATAATTTGTAAAAAAAATCAACRCCAGTGGGACTCATCCTGGTCTGACTCAGGATGTGTGCACAGTGGTGGGAGAGATGGAACTACGAGCTGTCTGTATTTATCCATGCTATCTTTAGCTAAGTGCAAGCGTGACTAGTAAGGGAGGCACAGCCAGAGATGCCAAATGCAGCACTGGCTGCAAGCTCCAATGCAGTTTCAGCAGCTAACTCAGGGCTACCCTATCTCACTGTTACCTGCTTCCACACACTGGCAGGAGCTACAATCCAACATCTGCACCTGCACCTGTAAAGCAGACATGTCCCTGCAYCTCCAGGAATCAGAATCAATTCTGCTCAGAGTCAGCACTCCACCTTCCATTAACACTGATGTCTGAATCAGCTGTTCAGAGTTCTGGTGCTAATGAAAGCAGTGAATCAGATGTGGGACTTCTATAAATACCACCAACTAGCCAAAAAAAATCTGGGATCCAAATGCAATTCCTGACTGTAAAGCACAGAAAAATCCAATGATATTGAAAAAAAGGTAAAGACATACAGTTACATGCATGTATCTATATGTAATAAGGGGGTGAGGAACAGTAATTTTTTCATGGACTGCTGGGGATATGACTCTCAGACTTAGTGGTCAGACCTGAAAGAAATATGAAGGCACTGTGAAGTAAGGGCTGATTGCATTTCCATTTTAAAAAAACATCGCTGCCAGGAAATCCAGAAAAGTGGTAGAAGCATCTCGGRTTTTTAATGAAATTTCTTTTAAAAAGTATAAATAAGTGTAAAAATTCCACATCACAAAAAGGCTCTTAAATCACCAGGGTCTTGTTGAGTGCAAACATGAAGAAAATGCAAGCCTTAACATTTTCCTCTTGTTCCTTTCCAGTGATACTTAACTAGTTGACAGAAGCTACATTTTTTTCTAAGGTCACTTTTCTTCCAGCAAAGTAAGTTTTGAAGCAATAATATTTTTATGCCTTTCTTTTGAGGGAGGGTGTTGCAGTACCAATGACTGAAATTATTTTGTAAATTTGAGAA